TATCTCGAAATCTATTAGAAATAATTGATAGTCGTTTTTTCAAAAACTTTCTTAATATTTCTGCTATATTTTCTTCGCAAACAGTATGTGAAAATCTTTATAAATAAAAAAGCTACACGATTGTAGAAAATTGCTATGCATTAAAAGTAAACGGATGGGTTTAAAATTTTTGAATTGAAAATAACAACCTTATCGAATTTTTCTTATTTAAATATATTGTAAAAGATCCGATCAAAATAAAAAAAAGTTTCAATATCTAAAGTTGTTCTTAAGTTCTTAGGTTATGGCGTGTTATGTGTTAAAAAGTTGAGTTTTTAAATTATCGCGATTACTGACGTTTCCTCCTTATAAAAAAATGGACACCCTAACGATATCCTAATGATTTTATCTAGTTATTTTTTCGAAAAAAAAAATCTTTTAAAAATAAGTGGTTTGCGATCGTGATTTTACTTTACTTGATAAGGAAAGGTGTACCGGCAACGCCGCAACAGCACACCGTCGCGTCGCATTTCTCTCACTCCGACTTAATAAGATCCCTATGCGATTTACTTCCACACACATGTAAATACCGACCCAAAAGTAACAGTTGCCAGAACCGTATATAGATGCAATACGATCGAAAAAAACGGCGTCGCAGTAACCTTTAAAATAAAAAAAATTAAAAAGTTTTTAGATTTGCCAATCATTCAGTCAAAATTAATCAGTAAAAACTATTTTTCGAAAATAGATTTTTGGTTCTAAAAACTTTTAACTTTTTAAAATGTTTAATAAATTTTAAATTCGATTCTGCAGAAACTCGCAAAGTAGTTATTTCAAGACTGACTAATTATGTAAGTATAAAGTTACGCCGTTTTTTCATCATACAGTACTCGTATAGTTGAAATATTTGTAAAAATGTACACTTTATCTGTTACAGCCTTTAATAATTATTTTATTTTTTTAATATTAGACACTTTACACTATAATGCAAACATCCAGTAAGACAAAAAGAATACATAGGATAATATAATTTCCATAACTTTTTAACTATGAAGGGTTTGTTATATTTTTTAATCCCTTATATTTATTTTTATTTTGAACTAAAAATTTATTTGTTTGTTCTATGCAATATTGCTATGTAAAATATTATTTTAAATATAATATTATTGTTTGAAACTGACACAAATAAATCAGTATTACCATTAACATTTATTTAAATGCTATTTAAATGCATCATAGAACTTTAAGAATATACAAATTCGTAGAAGAGCACTTTGGAACTTAATAATTTAAAGTTATTCTCCTTAATTTCTACAAGATTTTGATAAATATATTTTATTCAAAAAATTTCAATTTAGACTAGATGATGTTAAATATCTCTTAGAACTACTTACAGACATATAAGCGATACCAAATAAACGTTTAGTTAATCAAAGTCATCTAAAGGTGGGTATTCACTTGCAACAAAACACTCCGAACAAACCAAACGCGCCGCGCACTCCAAACAATCTGCAACAAAACGTTTTCCGGGCGCGCTCTGACATTTTGCGCGGAGCGTTCCACCTGTTTGCGGTGTTCGCTGCGTTCCCACCAGTAATTAGTGTAGTGTATTTGTCGACATGGATGCATCTGATATTACCATAGCAGCTGGTGCTTTTTTAATTATAAAGGCATTAGCGGGTAACAAAAAAGAAAAAAAAGGAAAGAACGAAAAATGTGGGCAAGACGCCTCTTTTTGCTACATTCTTTACTTTGTTATAATATGTCCCATTTTTCGGGTCCTATAAAATAGGCTGCTTTTCAAACTCATCAATTAACTATAAACACTTTCCTCTGTTCCGCTCCATATAGTCTGAGAGCTAGCAACGTTTTCGAGAAGTATTTTAAGACGTCTGGCTCTTTGATATATTTTTTACAGCATGCGGCCCGTCTGGCTGCCCATACCCGTTGCGTTCACTACTGCGCATCGGAAGAAGATCCTATATTTTTTATTAATTTAGTCCTATAAATTCTAGTATTGAATAAAAATCGAACATGTCTCCATAGCGCAGTGCGTAGAGTTTCCGACCACGAACCGATGATTCAGAGTTCGAATCCGGGTCAGGGTAAAGACTTTTTTATTTTATTTTCGTTTATATTCTGATAGTAAAGTATTAAATAAATTTGCTTATTAAAAAAAATAATACTTTACTATCAGAATATAAACGAAAATAAAATAAAAAGTCTTTGTCCTGACCCGGATTCGAACTCTGAATCATCGGTTCGTGGTCGGAAACTCTACGCACTGCGCTATGGAGACATGTTCGATTTAAATTCAATACTAGAATTTAAAGGACTAATAAAAATATAGGATCTTCTTTCAATGCGCAGTAGGGAACGCAACGTTTACCGGCAGCCAGACGGGCCGCATGCTGAGCTAGAGAGCATAGTAAAATATATATCGAAAAGCCAGACGTCTTAAAATACTTGTTTTTCCGACGTTGCTAGCTCTCGTACTAATAGCTAGGCACAGTTTAAAAGCACCACAAACACAACGAACGTTCAAAACTGCCGTATCCACTGAACACCGGCCAACGAACAAATTCTTTTGAGCAAATCCCGTTTACTGACAAGCTTCGGAAAATGTTTGGCGCGTTCGGTTCGGTTCGGCGCAACGTACTTACTACACAAATTTGTTACAGCGCGCGGCGCGTTTGGTTAGTTTTTGAATTAAGCGAATTGTGTTAATCTTAAAAAAAAATAAAAAAGACACTTTAAGTTTAAATTTCTTTACTAGGAGACTTGGCAGTCGAAAATTGTTCTTTTGAAAACCATGTACAAGATGCGGAAGCAACTTAACAGCCGTTGTAAAAAACTCATCGCAACCTTATTAGAATATTTTCAACGGAAAAGCGGTAGTAATGGCTCTTAATGTCCGTTAAGTGCTGTTAAGAAGGTGGGTTTTGTTGCTGTAAAGAATAACTGTTTGTATATTTATAATCAATTCATTCTTGTTTCCTAAAATATTTTGTGTTAAAGAAAATACGTAAAAGTCGGCAACGCTGTGCCGGTGAAGCTTACTCACGTGACTAAAAGTTTATTTGGTTTGATCTATACTATATAACAATAATTTTATGCAAGAAATGACAGTATAGTTATAACTGTAGTAGTACTAATAAAATACTAAACGATGGAGAGTTTGACATATTTTATATTGGTATTTTATGTACAGGGTTGTTCACCACATACGACACGGAGTATTGTAGCTAAACGATTAGATTTTTACAAATTGTAAGTTTTGGGTTCGTTGTAGTACTATTAGAGCTACAATTTAAAAATATTTTTACAAGATACAGAGTGTCCCAAATAAATTAAAATATCAAAGTTATAATTTTTTAAATGGAACACCCTGTATATTATTACATTTTTAGTTTCTACGATTAAAATAAAGGTAAATTTAATTAAATTTTATCACACATAAACCTGTTGCTGTTTTTGAAATATTTTGCAATTTTGTGAAATTGCAATAAAAATTTTAAGGCTTCATTTCTCCAAGGATATCAAAGTTTTTATTACTAAATATTTACTGAAGTTTATTTATTGATCAGTTATTGTGTTGCAATAATAAAAATAATACTACCTCATACAGAGTGTCTAAAAATTTATTTCAAATAATTTCTAGCTTTAAACGGGAATACCTTCTCTATTTTAAATAGAACACCCTGTATATTTTAGGAGAATCAGACACTCAATTTAATTGTCTATCAAATTTTTACCTATCCTTTCAAGCTTTCGTAGAAAATGCATTTTCTTATAATTTAAACCTCATTATTTATCAATATACCCATGGAATATTGACATTTTAGATGGTTTTTAGAGCAACAAGTGTACAAAATGTACAGTTGCTGAAAACGATAATTTTACTAGCCCGTTTGTATGTATATACAAAAAGAAAATTGTAATTGAAAAAGAAATTTGTATGTATATACAAAAAGAAAACTATTTAAATCTTTATAAAAGAGTATACCTATTAAAAATACCATTATTTCCGTCCAAGTATTAATTAATTACATACTTAATTGTGTTTAGTTAATAAATTATTCTAAATAAATGTGGATTTGAATCAGAAATCAATATAATAATAAGTTATGAAAATGAACGTCGCTGTAAAATGAAATAAAATGTTTTAGGTGTTACTTTTTACCACACTGTCTAATACACATACAAAATTCAGTTTTTTAGTATTTGGAGCAATTATTATATTAATCAACGCAAACAGTCAATTAATATAGTTTGAATACTGGATTCATTTTGATTGGTCCTCTTTAACAAATATTTAAACAGTTTTTTATTATTTTTTTAATGAAATAAACGAACTATATCGACAATATTAGTATCTGTACACTTTAAAAATTTGTTACATCTTTAAAAATAATCTAAAATGTCAATATTCCATGGGTATATTGATAAATGAAGTCTAAATTATAAGGAAACGTATTTTCTACGAAAATTTGAAGAGATAGGTTAAAATGGTATAATACAATTTGATAGACAATTAAATTGTGCATCTTATTCTCAGATAATATACAGGGTGTTCCATTTAAATTAAACAAGTTATTGCCGTTTAAAGCTAGTAATTATATAAAATAAATTTCTAGACACTCTGTATAAGGTAGTATAATTTTGATTATTGCAACACAATAACTGATCAATAAATAAACTTCAGTAATTATTTAGTATTAAAAACTTTGACACCCTTGGAGAAATAAAGCCTTAAAATTTTTACTGCAACAATTGAAAATATTTCAGCTTAATCAAATGTACCTTTATTTTAATCGTCGAAAATAAAAATGTAATACTATACAGGGTGTTATATTTAAAAAAATACAACTTTGATATTTTTTATTTATTTGTGACACTTTGTATCTATAAAATAATTTTTAAATTGTAGCTCTAATAGTTCTTCAACGAATCCAAAACTTACAATTTGAAAAAAATCTAATCGTTTAGCTACAATACTCCGTGTCGTATGTGGTGAACAATCCTGTAAAAATGACTAAAACAATTTAAATCTTATTTTTGCAATTTGCAATAATAAAATTGCATATATTGTATATATAAAAAGTTATACCTATAAAAGATGCTTTAGAAATATTAAAATCTGACTTCTTATTGTTAATTGACTACCCATTTTGTGCAGTACCATTATAAACACAAGAATATTACACATCATAACAACTTACATTCACAACACATCAGTATACGATTGTCACATTGTTTCACAACATACAAATTTACAAAAAATTGGGAAGCTTACGTTAATTCTACGAACCCTTAACTAAGCTTGAAGATAAACTATTTGGCAGAAAGTCACTTTAAAATTTGTTTTAAAAAAGATATGTGGTATAAGGCATCAGAAGCTATACTTCGGTACTGACTGTCTGTATTCGTACTTTCTTCGTACTACCATTTCGATTCAGCGTCGGGGAAGTACCGCTAAATCCAGGATTCTGGATACCCAAACCCTCTTTCGGTTTGGGCTTTTTGAGACTACTTCTTAGAGGAGACCTGGAAAAAGAAAAAAAGGATTACTAATGTTTATAGTGATAAAATAAATATAAATAGCCTGTAATAATTTTGTTTATGATATTTAGTAAAAATACTATGGAAGGAATCTAATACTATTTTTATAATCATGAATTAGATAGATATGGAATCGACGTCATGATACTGCATTTTCTGGCAGTTTTGTATGAGTTTTGTATGACGTTTCATTTGACAAACCCCACTATGATTTGAATTTTTGCGGATTTGTTTGACAAAAATTGAAAACAATAGAAGCATGAAAGTGTTAAGATGCAAGCAAATGCGCGGAAGACAAAAAATAATAAAGATAAGAAACACACATGGCATTATAACAACAGACAAACATGAAATTAGAAATGAAATACACAAATTCTACGAACAACTTTATCAGTCTGTTATACCAAACAAAGATAGAGTACAAAAACACATTACAAACGCAGGATCAGAAGACTTGCCAGAAATATCAACCACAGAAATTAAATACGCACTTCAATAAATAAAAAATGGCAAAAGCCCAGGAGAAGATCGTATTACACCTGAAATGCTGAAGATGGGCGGAAAACCATTAGTGGATGCCGTGGGAGTATTGTTAAATAAATGTCTGATGGAAGGTACAATCTCGGACGCATGGAAAAACGCAGAAGTTGTGCTATTATACAAAAAAGGAGATTATACCAATATAGAGAATTATAGACCAATAAGCCTTCTCTCGCACCTATATAAGCTCTTCACTAGGATTATCAACAACCGACTGTCTACGAAACTAGATTCCTATCAGCCAATAGAACAGGCAGGCTTTCGAAAAGGTTTTAGTACCATCGATCATCTACAAACAATTAAAACAGTCATTGAAAAAACAATTGAATACAATATACCGTCACATTTGGCCTTTGTAGACTACCAAAAAGCCTTTGACAGCATCGAAACCTGGTCATTTCTAGCTGGAATGGAGAACGAGAGAATTGATTCCAGATATTATTCAATTATTAAAAATATCTATGATAGTTCAACCTTCCAAATTAACTTAGATGATGACCCAAAAACAGAAAAAATACCACTCGGCAAAGGCGTGAGACAAGGAGATACCATCTCTCCCAAGTTATTTACACTGGCACTGGAAAATGTCTTCAAGAAATTAGAATGGGAAAATAGAGGTCATAATATCGACGGGGTACACCTTAGCCATCTTAGGTTCGCAGACGATATTGTCTTGCTGAGCACCGACATTCAAGAACTAAATCCATGCTAAAGGAGCTAAATGATCAATCCCAGAAAATTGGCCTTAAAATGAACTTGAAAAAGACCAAGATAATGAGCAACAGTATCCATAACATTACCGTTGACAACGTTATTATTGAATACGTAGACCATTATATATATTTAGGTCATAAAATCAAGCTGGGTAAGGAGAACCAAAATACGGAGATCAAACGCAGAATCTCATTTGGAAATATAAGCGATGTTTTCAAGGATAAAAAGGTGCCCATCAACCTAAAGAAAAAGGCTTACGACTAGTAGTGGGAACTATCGAATGAATACTATCGAAACATTCGATAGTTGCAATTCATTCGAATAATTCGATAGTTAGTAAGAAAACATTCGTTGAAAACTATTCGAATAAAAATTATCGAATAGATCCGTCATCTGCCTTGAAATATTGTATTCTAGTAATCCGGCAGCAAAAACCATTCATTTATAAAAATCATTCATTTATGAAATTCATTTATTCGTCAGGATCGATTATAATAAAATATTAACTGAATTTTAGTTGTCGCCCGGCGACGTAGGTTTCTTTCCGAGGAACCCGACAGCGGTCGGTGGCAATGCTATGAAAGAAGCCGGCATCTTTGATTTTTTGCGGAGTCAGATATAGATAAGGACACATTATTTTTTTATTGAGGTGCTAGTATTTACACAGAAAATACATTATGAAGGGCGCTGTTGCCATATTTTGGTATTAGTTGATATTAGCAAAGAATATTATTGTTTGGCTTTAGTTAGTTAGGGATAGTATGTCTATATATTCTGCATTTTTTTTATTAATATTCTGTTGTTACACTGCAATAATACTTGTTATTTTGGATGTAGGAAAATTATTTTTAATGTTTTTAAGCAAAGACTGGTTTAATAAATAATAATAACAGTAATAATTTGTTATACATATTAACAACAAAATTTAAAATCATTTAATATAAATATTTTTTAAGTAGTAGCAAAATATAAACAACAAATTAGATGTCAAAATTATTTATATTAGATCCTATTTAAAAATAATATAGTCTCTAAATTTTTTGTGTGTGGCAACGTTGGTTTATTAAATAATAATAATTACAGAACTAATTTGTTATATTAACAACAAATTTTAAAATCATGAAATATAAACATTTATTAATTTTCTAAGCATGCAGTGTAATGGAAGGAAAATATAAATAAAAAATTAGAAATCAAAATTATTTATATTAGGTGCTTTATATTACTATTTAAAAATTATATTTACTTTTACTGGCATTTACTTTAAAAAGCAAATGAAATATTTCTTCGCAAAAAACTACATGTAAGAGAATTAGCATAAACAAAATACAAACATCGTTAACTTTTTTTTTAAATTGGCACGTGTAAAACTTTCATTTAAATTTTCTCACCCCATAGTTTGAGTTCGATAACCGCATTTACTTAACCACATTACTCAATATGATTATTAAGTTCAACTAATTCATATTATTAAAACATCTAAAATACAAATATGTATTTTTAAAACTAATTGTAAGTTCATCTCATCTCTCTTAAAAATTGCTACTTCTCAAAATTTCCCATTAAAAAATAGACCATATACCATATAAAATTAAATAATTGAAAGATCGGACTACGGAAAACCACACAAATTTTTTTTCATTTATTTTAACTATTTTAATAAACGCAAAAATAGCACAGTATTTATACGGCGAAGTTATAAAAATTTGGAAGAACTAATAATGCACTGACGCATACAAAAATCAAACGAATACTAAATTTCATTTATCAAAAGCATTCGATAGTCGTGGCTCAACAATAACCATTTAGTCGCACGGCGAGGTTGTCACATATGCTTTAGTATACAAATGAATGAATGATTTTATTCGAATAAAACCATTCGATAGTTGAAATCATTCATTCATTAACCATTCGATAGTCTAATTCATTCGATAGTTCCCATCGCTACTTACGACAGCTGCATTCTACCTGTGCTTACGTATGGCCTAGAGACTATGGCAATTACCCGAAAAACTACGAGTAGCACAAAGAGCCATGGAAAGAATCATGTTGGGAGTCACCATTAGGGAAAAATACGGAACACCCACATACGTCAAAAAACAAAATCAATAGATGTGGTTAAAAGAGTGGCAAGTCTGAAGTGGCAATGGATAGACCATGTGGCAAGACAGGATCCAGACCGATGGCCCCAAAAAGTCATCCTATGGAGACCTAGGGGAACAACAAGAAGTGTGGGCCGGCCAAAAAAGAGACGGGTCGATTACGTCAGGGCAGTGGCGGGAAGACATTGGATAAGATTCGCTAGAGATCGCGAAGCATGGAAAAACCTAGAAGAGGCCTATATCCAACACTGGATGGAACCAGGCTGAGAAAGAAGAAGAAGAAGAAGAGTTTGAGAAAACATCCCCCTTTAGAACATTTCTGTAATGGCAATGACTGAAAATTTTATTTGTATGACATTTTTTTTTATTATTTGTGTATTTGTATATTTTTTTTGTGTTTTTTGTTTTGTGAATGCTTTGTCGATGAAGCTGCTTTGGCTTTTTGTAAAATAAAGTGTTTTTTAAGGTGCGATAGATATAGTTTATATTGGCCATTGACCGCGTCATTCATAAAAGGATTTCAGTCGTCGGAAAAATTTCGCCGTTTGGACAGTTTGGCCCAAGCAGCATTTGGACGTCGGGACAACGTTGTGTCACGCGACCAAACGTCGGGGCGCAACGTCGGCACAACCTCGTGCCAACCCTAGTCTGCACTAGTTTGGAGAATAATTTTTGGGTCGAAACGACGTTGGATACCGACGTTGGCTAGAAGCCTAATTTAGTACAAACTGCAACGTTGTTTAAAATCCTAATTCACAGAAATACAAAACTAATATGGCGTCTAAGTCGCGTTTTATCCTAAATTGGGATAATTATAGTAAAAATATTATATTTATAATTTAGTTAGAGACATATGTCAGATGGCAGTGAAGGAAAACAAAACAAAAGTATTTAAGTGTGGAGGATGTTTGAAGATCATAATTATTGAAACACTTTAACCGACTCTGTAACTCGTTACCCAAGGTAAAAAGTTAAACGCAAACAACTTTATTGATAAATGTATTGTTTCTACTTTAAAAAATACTAATGGGCCTTGAAATTAAAGAAGTTTTAAAAATTTTCTTGAATTTTTTTTTTAGTAAAATGAGAATAATTTATTCGCATTCGAAAAAATTGTTTCCGCGTATTTTTTAGGGTCAAATATTTCAAGTTAATGTATTCAAAAAGCAGGAATTGCTATTTTAAGAACGAAACATTTTCTTATTTAACAACATGGCGGCTTTAACTTTGTTGTTTTGGAGATTAAGATGGAGTAGTTCGAGTAGTCGCATACTGGACTAATAAAGTCGCAGTTCGGCCTTAACAGGTAGTATACTAGTCGCAAGATTGCCTAATTTAGTCATTCTAGAGTCTAGCTTGTGCCGCCCTCTATAATCTAAATAAACGAGGAAGTGTCGGTAATATATGTCGATGTATATTTAAATTTAGTTTTATATGTACCTTTCTTATGTCCCATTTTAATTAAGTTTTTTTTTTATAAAAACAAAAACAGCACTGAACTGTCTGACTGAACAGAACAATGAATTGAAAATTTAAGATTTAAGGTTATGGTTCAATACAGTTGCAAAAAGGTAGTGACTCTACGTCCTACCAACGTAAGAATAAGGAAATCTAAACAACGTTGGAATTAGTAAAACAGACGACGTTTGCATAACGTTGGAATAGGTCCTGAAACTGACGTCGGAAAACTCTATATTATCCAACGTTGTAACTACGTTGTCCAAATCACCTAAAGATCACTTAAGCAAAAAAGGTTACAAGACAACGTTTATTCGACGTCGCAGAAGCTTCTACTTTGCTGTAGTACTAGTCCAACGTCGGCACAACGTTATAAAAACGTTTAAATTTATTTTAATACCCAAGGTAGGGAGCTAACTATTTTTTGTAACTAATCCAACGTTGTGTTTAGTAAACATGTGGTCGCAAGTCGTGAAAATGCTACTTGGGGGGTGTTTATAAAAACTCAAATTATAAAACAGCCTAGGTTTTTGTATCGTCTATCGCGTTAGTCAATATAAAGTAATATTTAAATTTTTAATATCGAAAGAAATCCCATCTAATTTGAGGTGTAGCACGAATTTTGGGTAGGTAATAATTCATAATTTTCTGGTTAAGGATAAATGATGAACTGTGGTTGACTGATTCTGGAATAGATATTTTAAAATAGACAACATGGTGTTTAGTTTGTGATATCGTACGGTTAAAAGAAAACAATTGCTTAAATTTCGAAAAATGCTTAGAGAAAGAACGCTGCATTGACTTAAAATATAAAAAATGTGAAAAAAAACTTTTAGAATTAATTGTGTATGTGTATATATGCATTTATATTTTTGTGACATTACTATTTATGTGTATTTTAAATCCTACTGTGGAAAATTTGTGTAAAGAATATTGACTGGATTTTTAGTGAAATGGCACTAGACCACCTGTTTAAAAATGTAAGGGTAGGTTTCATTTTAACAGAATTTATATTTATTTTTATTTTTAGATTTATTTCCCTTTAACTAAACGTACAAGTACCTTGTAAGAAACCAATTAAATTTAGGCGCGTCAGAGTGTGCGTCTTAAAAAAAATCGACGCAATATTTTTAGATATTGACCTCCCTACAATAATGACCACGAGCCGCCACTGGTTCTTACTCAAATCAAGGAAAATCTTTGATTGTTCTCAGTCGTGAGTTCGATTTTCAGAGATAACTAGTTATAATCGAGTCATTCTAAGATGAATAGTTTAAAATCATAATTAAATTAAAGGTACCTCGTCATGTTGACCGAGGAATCGACTGTAGAACCATTTGTAGAACCCATAGTTGTTGAAGTGGTGTTCATGGACGCCATAGAACCATTTGTTGCCACAGTGTAAGGCTTCCCACTGGCGTCTGTCATAGATATTCCCACACCTAAGAGAAAAAAATAACATTATAGTACAGAAATACACAAAATATACACAATTACAAATAATATGCAACTTGACGTAAAATCCACTATAATAGTATAAAATACAAAGCAAAATTTAATTTTCTTTATTGTAATGTGATATTTGACAAAAAATTTGTACTAAAACATTTGTACTATTTAAATCAATAACACTGGTTCCTAAATAGCATTAGCTGGTTTTTTTGACTACAAAGGGTTGAAAATATATAAAATAAAATAAAATACCGAAATCCAATAAAGCTAGCCAATTTCAGGCAAACAGGATATTGTCTCGCTGTAATTACGTCATCAGTGCTTTAAACATTTACTATAGAAACAGTAATAAATGGAACCAGTGCTCATGACATTGTTACAGTGTTGCCAGATTTTAGATCGCTTATTTAATTTAACTGTACTATTTTATTCTAATTATTGTAATTGTGGAGTTTTGATTCTTTCAGAATTTTGGACTTCCATTGTATAAAGACCATATACAGTATTATCGAAAAAAAAACGGCGTCCGTTGGCTTGGAAACGAACATCAATGACATATGTAAAATGACAATCCTCATTTCATAATCATCACCATAGATAAAGGACACCCTAGTACACAAACATAACGACTCAAAGATAACGACTAATAACATAATTTTTTGGAATCCCTTGCATATAATTTCTACAAATTATATCACATTTTTAAAAGCTCTAGGACAAAGAAATAAACGATTTAGAAAGTCACAAAGCAAGTCTAAATATAATTCTAGTAATCTTTCTTTTCTTTTTCGTATTTGTAGACGATTGCCATGAGAGCTAGCGCCGAACATCAGCCTTTTTTGTTACTGTATTATATGCTGAATTCATCCCACATATTTTTTAGATATCACATATCATAATACTAAGGGCTGGCAAAGGTTAGTCTTGGGTCGAGATTTCCGTATGTAAGAAAAGTACAATGCGTTTATAATGTGCTGAACAAAGAGAGAACAGTAAACACGTTGCCAAACGTATGAAATAAACCGAGAAACTGTGCACATTGCTAAAAGACGTGGAAGGGCATATAGCAGATTTGTCGCAGTCGACCGGTCAAGGGAGAGGGTGTCCGTGGAGCTTCACGATTTAATTTACGTCTCGTGATACTTGTTTATTTATTAACGAGTCGTTGGAATTTTCTCTATAGCTTGAAAATTTTTAAGTGCAAATTACAAACACTTGCATTTTTGGTAAAAATAAGTGGAATTGAGTTGGTCTTCGACAGTGGTCGCGTTATTAGAACTGAATTCAAAAAACGATATCTCGAAATTTATTAAAAATAATTGATTGTGTTTTTCAAAAACTTTCTTAACATTTCTGCTATATCCTCTTCGCAGACAGTATGTAAAAATCTTTAGAATAAATCTATAGAATAATCTAACCGAAAATCTTTAGAAATAAAAAAGTTACACGATTGCTGCAAATTGCTATGCACTAAAAGTAAATGGATGGGTTGTTTAAAATTTTTGAATGGAAAAAAACAACCTTATCGACTTTTTCTTATTTAAAAATACTGTAAATGATCCGATTTTCAAAATAAAAAAGTTTCAATGTCTAAAGTGGTTCTTAAGACATGGCGTTATGTGTTAAAAAGTTGAGTTTTTAAATTATCGCGATTACTGACGTTTTATCGTTATAAAAAAATGGACACCTTAATAATATCCTTATAATTCCATTTCAGATGCTTAGAAATATATCTAATAATTTTATCTAGTTATCTTTTCGAAAAAAAAGCCGTTTAAAAATAAGCGGTTTGCGATGGTGATTTTACTTTACTTGATAGGGAAAGACATACCTACCGGCAACGCTGCATCGGTCGCATTTCTCTCACTCCGGCTTAATAAGATCCCTATGCGATTTACTTCCACACATGTAAATACCGACCCAAAAGTAACAGTTGCCAGCACGGTATACATAAAAATTTAATGTGGCTTTACAAAACAACTTGACAATAAACACTTTTTTAATTTTTTTAAGAAAACATCTCTTTTAAATGACTGGAATTCTTACCATTCGTTCCTCTTTCTCTGAATCCAGGGTTGCCATATGTCGTGGATTCCACCGGCATGCTTACAGTGGTAGGGTCCCCACCTTCGCGCTTTGAAAACAGCATATCATAAAGGGACATCACAAAAAGGCAGGAATTCAGGACGATGGACAAAATCTACACAAAAAAATTAGAAAAACATTTTACAGGGTGGCTCAAATTGTATTCGGGAATTAACTTTTAATAATAAAGTTTCATTTTTATTTCAACTTTCCCCAAATAATTTCTGAACTAACGTTAATATTGGATGAAAATTGGTGCATAGAAGTTTTTTGATATGAAAAATTTGATTTTGATTTCAGTGTGACTCCCACTTGTGCCACCTATATATTTTTAATTGAAGATTAATAACTCTTCATCTATACCCTACCTGTTACCTAATAAATAATCTTACTAGTCACATAAGTATAGTTTTTCCTCAATGTTTAGAATGCACAGTACAAACTTTGTACAGGGTGGTAGAATTTGGTCTGTTTTAACAGAGTAAACCTATTTCCTGACTAGACAGTCATGGGCTCGATTTCTGAGACACGCTTAATGACGGAAACCGTCTGTTGATATTTTCACTGCCAAGTAAGATACGGGGTCTTTTTGAATTTTTTACCATTTGGAATTTTTTAAGCACAATCCAGTGGCGTAGCCTGTTTTTTCTATTCTTGCTCTTTTTGTCAGAAATAATAAAAAATATAATTTTTTAAATGGAAATCATAGTTGGCTATGAATTTAAAAATATGCTGGTTAACCCTTTCCAACCATATAAAGTTATGTGTATTTATTTCTAAGAATGAGAAAAAAATTAGGTTTTTTATGTTTGTATCGAGGTGGGCATTGATTTTGTGTTGACCTGGTTGCCTAATTATTTTTTATCACAATTTAATATTCTATATTATTATTTATCTGCATAATTAAAGACTTCTGAAAAGGTAAATCAACATTTTATATTAGTATTACCATTTACAATTAAAAACTCAGGGTTATAACTGATCTATTAAATGAGAAATTTAGAGAGAACTGGATTGGAACAAGGGGCCTCATATTTTGGTCCTGTGATTTAACTCCTTTCGACTTTTTTTATAGGGACAATTAAAATACCTTATATATATATAAGCTCTTTCCTTTATATATATATATATATATATATATATATATATATATATATATATATATATATATATATATATATATATATATATATATATATATATATATATATATATATATATATATATATATATATATATATATAAGGAAAGAGCCATTGGGACGAGAGAAGAATTGCAGAAGGCTACTAGGCAAGATTTTGGACTTATTACACCAGTTGGTCTAGTAAATTGTTGTAACTCTGCGCGCAAAATATGTTTATTGTGTATTCAACAAGGAGGTGTTGTCAAGTTTGAACATCTTTGATGATTTTTTTAGAAAACTATATTTGTCACTCAAAAATACGTTTTTTAGTTTTTTTCTTTGTTTATTTTATCGATTTCAATTGTAATGACTAATATTAATATAGAATGTTAATTTACCTTTTCACAAGTTTTTAGTTATGCAGATAAATAATAATGTAGAATATCTGAGGAATTATTTGAGTAAAAGGAATTACGGTGTACACTTTTCCCTCTGCGGTTTACCCCTCGGCCAGCAAGATAAAAAACCAAATATTTCTCTTATTCTTAGAAATAGATACCATAACTAAAAAAAAATAAATTAAATTTTTTATTTATTCTGACAAAAAGAGCAAGCATAGAAAAAAACTGAGTACGCCACTGGATTGTGCCTAAAAATGTGCGTTTTTACAGAATTTTATTATTCCCCAAAATAAAAAAATTATGAGCAATTTTCAAAATGATAAAAAATTCAAAAATACCCCGTATCTCAGTTGGCAGTGAAAATATCAACAGGCGGTTTACGCCATTAAACGTGTTTCAGAAATCGAGCCCATGTCATCTATGTCGGTTTTTCTCTATCTAGTCAGGAAATAGGGTTTCTCTATTAAAACAGACCAATTTCGACCACCCTGTAAACCAGCAAAAAATTTTGGTTTGGTTTAAAATTCTCTCTCGAAAAATAATGTTTTAGGAAAAACTACGCTCGAAATTATTGCACAGGGTGTTTTAAAGGTAAAGTAAAAAACAGTAAAAAGTTTAGGCATTGAAGTTAATATATTTATACAGGGTGTCCCAGAAATAAGTGCAAATATTTTAAGAGGTGATAGATCTCAATAAAAGAAACATATTTTCTCCTTATCGTTTTTTAAATAAGTCCAAAATAACGGAGTTATTTTACTTTGAAAATTTCCAAAAAAAAATGATTTTTTGCTAAAATTTTGAGAACCACTGGATCTTTTCTGGATTTTATTTCTTGTAAATTTAATCCAATACCTATGTCGCCATATTATCAAGAAATTATGTTTTTCAACTAAAAACTAAAAAAACTTCCAAATTTTTTTTTAAAAAATGTCTAATTTTCAAAAAATTTTTTTTTGCGAAAAAAACCTCATAGGCGTGTTTGTGGGGTTGAACTATACTACCAGTTAAAATATTTGCACTTATTTCTGGGACACCCTGTATAAGTATACAGTTTGCTAAAAAAAACATAAAAATACGACTAAAAGTAAAAAAAATATAACACTTTAAACTTGAGAAAAAAATTCCGTTGCGTTTTTTTGCATCTGAGTGTAGTAAGATTTTTAAAAAAAATCAAAAATGGGTTATTCCCCCCTCCCCCCTATATTACTAAAGTAAAATATGTACCAGGAAAATTGAAAAATATTTTTAATATTTAACACAAAACCTTCTAAAAAAAATATGTGTAGAAAGAAAAAAAAATACGTTTTTTTTTCATTTTCTGTTTTTTTCTTTGATCATTTTGTTGATTTAAAAAAAAGCAAGTTAATGTTTTTCAATTTTTTTCTCCTGAGCAAGTGAACGAAAAAATAACTGTATATTGCCATATATATCCTGGTTTTTCCCTCCGGCTGTTTCATAAAACATCTTTTATCCTTACATATTCAAGGAAATCTTTTTCTATTTCCGTATGTTTCTATTTCCTCCATTTGAGTACGTTGTTGCAAAAATACTTTTTTTTGTTTTAGACTTGATGTAGGATAATTTTTTAGGGCATTATACTAATGTGATAAAGAAACCAAGAGAGGGTAGGAATATATGGGCGCATTTTCGTGATTCATATCAGGCAATATGCTGTACACAAATAAAAAAAATATATACAGGGTTATTCATTCTACTCGTTCGTTTAAAATATCTGGAATTTAAGCTTCATTCACAACCTCGAAATTGGTAGTTTCAATTATATTTTATATTGAAGAGTCTATTTCACTAGTCCAAAAAAGTAGCAAAATAAGCGTTCGGCATTTAACGTTTTATGTAAAACTGGCTAGGTAGTTTTACACAAATGAAGAAGGAAATTAAAGATAAAGGATTATACTATGTCGGTACTGTAGCACGTTTTTAGATAACTACATTATTTTTAAGATTTTGGTGGTCAAACATCAACAAAGTAGTGCTTATGTTTGGACTAAATTTTCTCGAAAATAAATAAATAATTTAAAATTCCGTTACAATAGCGACAAAGACTGAAGTTTTGTGATTACAGTGATATATAATTTATATGGTTTTGTAACAAATTGCTCGCTATTTTATGGCAAATGCTGAAGCTCTGCAAACCTTAATCAAGCCTTAATCAAAGCACGTGTGTTTGGAATTTTGGCGGGGCTTAACACGACAGGATCGGGCTAAGCCTTAGGCAGATTTCTGAAATATAATATATATTTCCTTCGGCCACACACCTGCTTTAACCGACCCCTGAGAGCGACCCGAACAGTACAGCGTAATAGCACAGATTATGCAGATTATAATCTTTGTTTTTTCTTTATTGTTTTTCGTGGTTCCAATTTTCGGAATCGGGCACTAGTTAGGTGACTAGTTTGCGCACATAGCCCGCCCACTTATGGCCTCTAAAATTGTGCACAGCGCCTGACCGGCACAGTTATTAGAGAGATATCGGAAAACCGAATAGCGTCATGGAGTATTTACGCGTACCTTATCATGGTTACGATATGCACGAGTCAATTTTTAACGCAACACCCGCTAATAACGTTACCGCCTGACGTAATTTGCGGATCAATTACACCAAGCGCTCTTTCTAAATAACCTCTGATAGCGTTTAAAAATTGCTTAAATGGGCATGTGCGGGTATTTGACAACCGGAGCCGGCCGGCGAGATCTTTTATTTTAGGTTATGTTTGAATTGTTTTGAATTATTGCTTTAGTTTTATTAGGTAATTTGATATTTAAGTAGCTGGGATTAGTTTTAATTAAATAAATATGGCCCAAAATATGGATTCCACCTCTTCTAATACTAAAAAGCCTATAAAGAGTCTTAGGTTTACAGCAGATGACGACTTAGCCCTTCTAAGAGAATTTGTTGCTTGTTGCCCTAAACCCACTGGCAGACGTTGAACAATAAAGCACTGGAAATAAGTACTTTAGCCCTTTTTTTAAAATACCTAGTAAAAAAAACAATTTCAAAGTTTTAAATTCAAAGTTAGGTTAAGTTTAAATAGCGGACGCGACGCGATCAGAATTCTTTCCGATCCGATAACTATAAATGAAGAGAGTTAATACCACCTCACGTAAAGGAAATAACACCTGGCCTTATTAACGTCTATGCACGCTATTCGGTTTAGCGATATGTCTCTATTACGCTGTTTATTGTTATTTTACGCGAGTTTATTTTTGCGCACAGGAAATTTGACTCGTTTGCACATCGTCATAAAAAACAATTTTCGTACCACGAATTACGGACAAGATTTTTATCTGTATACTTATAGGATACCTAATCTGTGGTAATAGACCCTTGCTGTGCGCTTACAGGAAATTTTTATTCGGCCGACTATTTAGTTGCATATTTGTGATCATTATATATATCTTTATGGAGCTGCGCTCACATGCAATCATATAGTCGGCCGATCGACTTCAAAAGTACGTATTGTTTGCAAATAAATAGTCGGCCGACTAAAAGTTACAGGTTAGCGCGTAGGCTTATTGTATCGAATTTCTCTTCACAGTATCCATACTATTTAAAATCGTAAGTCAGGGAATTCAAAGTGTCTTGTTTTTCAAATTAGAAATTTCTTTTAGAAAATATGCGATAATTGTTTTGAGTAGTTTATTTTTTACATCTTGGCACTTCATGGTTACGTAAAATAAACGAACATCTAAGTAGATACGCAGATATCCATGCAAATGGTCCTAAGTCGACAGGCTGGGTATGAATAGACTGTGGTTATAGACTGACTTGTTTTTACCTCATTTGTTTAATTATGCTTACCTCTATATAAATTCCTGGACCACGTGTTACGATGAAACCGTTTCTTTCATCATCAATTTGAGTGGCAAAAAGACTGGCTGATACTATAGCCAAAAGTGCTGTAAAAATACAATAACAATATAAAAATAAAATTTATTATCAAAAAAACTAAAAATATTTTTAGATATTATTAATGATAATGTTTTAGAAAATGGTACTGTATGATTGAAGAAAAAAACGGCGTCGAAAACGACTGGGGAATGACAATCGATAATAATTTACTAAAAATTTATATAAAACTTCAAAATTATCACTAATTACTATAATAGATTAAAATAGGACAGAACGTTTCAAGACCCACAAATCTATTCCCAAAAATATTTTTTATCGAATTTTATATAGATACAATATAAAAATAAAATACCGTATGATCGAAGAAAAAGGCGTCAGCGATGGCTATAAAATGAACATCGATGACATTTCCCATACATATTTACATATAAAATGACAGCGATCTTCATTTCATAGCCATCGCTAACGCCGTTCTTTCGATCATACGGTACAACCTTCTTATGGCCACTTGGCAGTAGGCGCAATTAAAATTTAAAGGGTTATATTAAATTTGACTTCGCCAAAATTATCATCAATAATCATACTCCAGCCGTTTTTGACGCCGTTTTTTTTTTCGATCGTATAGTACATTTTTCTTTTTTTTTCAAAGATAATAGAAAAAAAATAGTTTTACCTGCTATAAAAGCTAGAACAACTTTGGTTAAAACCGCTGCACTATACTTCATTACGACTTTTTCCTTGGAACTGATCATGGCTAGTTGTATCACACTGAGAAAACAAAATACACCCAAAATAAGCACTCCTAAGACGGCCACAATACCTGCCACCCTAACGGCAACTGAAACAAAAAGAATAATATTAATAAATATAGTGTCTTCAAAAGTAGATGCTAAAGAAAATAATAGTATATTGTTTTATTAGGAGTACAAATAACATTTAGATTTCGTTCGTGGCAACTACAACAATGTCGAAGACCTGCAAAATGCTGCCAGGCAAGCTTTTACATATTTGCAAACCCTTCCCGTTATATTATGAGTATTTTAATAAATACCATTTTGACATTTTTGTTATCTATCACGGCCTACTAATAAGAAAATTATATCTTTTAAATTTTACAGTAAATAGTAAAAATAAAAATATAGCGTAATATATATTTTTAAAAAGCTCGTAGCAAGACGGATCGTATGATTTATAAATATACAGGATGTTCCAATTAAAAAAAAACATAACTTTAGTTCATATTTTCAAAAATATTTTTTTCGTAGAAAAATAGTTGTTTACATCATCTTTATCCGTTTACGTCCGTTTGACAAAAAAGTGGGTCAGGTTTATGCAAACCGGATCCTCCTATCTTTACTAATAACAGAAATACCGTATAATTTCAACCAAAATGGGACACCCTGTACAAAAGTACACATAAGTACAAAAATAAAATCCAATAAAAAATGTAATCAAATCAAGTTATATTTAACTTTTTGTAAACATTTTGTGTTTTTACTTTGTTTTGTTTATTAATTTTAAATAAACTAACCGGCAAAAAAAAACAGCTACTAAAAACTAGTCCCAATTTCAAAGTTGGATTTCTCGCGAACCACTAATTAGATTTTGATGATTTTTTTTTAAATTGTAAATTAATTCCTTTTTAACGGATGCTACGTCAGAAATTTTTATTCCGAATTTATTTTGAGCATATACAGGGCACAACAATAAGACGAATGTTTTTGCTCGAACTTTGTAACACCCGTACGCTTTATTGTCCTGAATACTTTACGAAATCGTAGAATTACAGCGTTTCAGAATCAACATCTGCTACAAGCCGTGCGTAGAACTCAAGTCGGTGAGAGAACAATCCAACGAAGACGAAAAGAAAACAGCTTGTCTGCAAGAAGGCCTGCCACAGGACCCCAGCTACTTCCAAGACATCGTTGAGCACGTCTTCAGTTTGCGCGAGCGTTACATGTGAATTGGTTTGGTCGCGGTTTGCCTGCAAAGATTTTTTCCGTTCGTTTTAAATTAGCGTGTCTCCAATAAAAACAGAGATAATGTCGTGATTAAAAAAATTAAATACTCACAACAAATGAGGCTACAATGTCATTTGATTTAGCAATAGCTACTACAGGTGCTGCACCCTACAGGGTGTCACAAAGTTCGAGCAAAAAACTTCGTCTTATTGTTGTGCCCTGCATATGCTCAAAATAAATTCGGAATAAAAAATTCTGACGTAGCATCCGTTAAGAAGGAATTAATTTACAATTTAAAAAAAAATCACCAAAATCTAATGAGTGGTTCGCGAGAAATCCAACTCTAAAATTGGGATTAGTTTTTAGTGGCCGGTTTTTTTTGCCGGTGGGTGTATAATCGTTACTAGAGTCGCTAAGTAAATTTATAGGACTATTTTGTCTTTTTAATTCCTAATATTTTTTTTCAACTTCCCAGTACCTTGATACTTCCTCAATACTTCCCCGATAATTCCTCGTACTTCTTAAACTTCCTCAATACTTCCCCTACGTTACCCATATTTCCTGGACTTCCCCATCCTTCCCCCTTTTTATACACCCAATTTTTAAAAGGTTAAATTAAAAAAAAATTAAAAATATAAAATAAAATTCGCCCTCTACACTGTAAGCAAAATTATTATAAAAACATAATTTGGTTGTACTAAGAATAAATCTTACTCCGAAAGGTCAATTCCGACTTAACTTTGGCTTTATATAAGGTCACAGTGTAAGTATACAAACAATAGATATGGTGGAGTGGATAAGACTATGATTTATTATATAATGGGCGTATGAAAGAGCGCTTTTGCTCAAAATATAATCGGCTTAGAAATATACGAAAAAGGAACTGAATCTGGAACAGTCGCTGTTAATAAATTATTTTTATAATGGAACAGCTGCAGAATATCGCTAAGTAGGTAAAGATGGTGCATTTGTGTCATATTTCATATTTTTGTTTCAAATAATTTGCAGGAGTTTACAGGAAAAAAACTTTGTGTAAATTCCCAAACACATGCTAAATTGTAATTGAATACCTATAATACATTTGCCGGCACGAGAAACGCGCACTTCTTTTGATGATTTTTTAAACAATTTGTAGCTGAATTATTTGACTTTTAGTACTTCTTTCTTTATTAAGAATGAAAGTTGCCATCTGTATATTATACAAGGGAAACAAAATGTTAATATGTTTGTGAAAGTTTGAATCAAAGGTGAGTAGAAAGAAGAAGAAGAAGAAATGAATCAACAAAAAAACTATCGAGAAAATATACACACAGATGATAAAATGATTTTAAAATTCCTTGCTTTGTTAACTTACTCCACCCTTGTGGATTTTAAAATCATTTTATCATCTATGTGTATATTTTCTCGATAGTTTTTTTGTTGATTCATTTCTTCTTCTTCTTCTTTCTACTCTATATTAGGCAGATTGCCTGTTCATTCTTCACTTGGCCTTTTTTCTTTGCCCTTTTTCTTGGCCTCCCCGTACTTCTTCTTCCCAGTGGTGATTTGTCTCGAGCTGACCTTACTGTTCTTCCCTCGTTCATTCGGCTTATATGTTTATTCCCCTCGCATCTTCTGCTCACAACCCATTCATTAATGCTATCCACCTTGCATGTTTGCCTTATGTTGTCGCATCGTTCTCTATCTAGCATATCTACTTTTACATGTGATTTTGCGGGGGATTTTCATCTCGCCTGTTTCGAAGAATCTTTTTGTTTTTGCTGTATCTGGTCTGGTTTCTGCTGTGTAGATCATTATGGGTCTGACGACAGCCTTGTATATTCTTGATTTGACCTCGATACCTAGGTATGTATTTATTTTTCCATATGGTGTCTTTCAGACATCCAGCCACTCTCATTGCTTTTGTTGTTTGTTGTCTTACCTCTGTTTCGATATCGCCATAACCGGATAACTCTATACCGAGATAGTTAAATTTCAATTCTTGCTGTATTATTGTGTTATCCACGACAATCTTGCATCTGATAGGTATTTTTGATGTTGTCCAGCTCCTTGTTTTGGATGCAGAGATTATCATTTTATAAGAATTTGCTACTAGATTGAAGCGATATACTATAGTCTTTGGAGGTCGTCCTCATTTTCTGCAAATAGCACAGCGTCGTCGGCATAGCATATAATTGTCATATTGCGGTCTCCCATTTTGTATCCATTTAAATGGCGCACTTAAAAGTTTATTTTTTTTGGAGATATTCGCTTTTGAAGAAGACACTACGAAATAATATGGACACAAACCTTTTTCTGGACACAAATGGTACATTGTGAGACAGAAAATTGTAGAGAGAAACAAGCCCTATAACATAGGATACAACATTTTAATGAACAGTGCTTTCCATAAAATCAATAAAATGAAAAATATACGAAATGATATGCATGTACTGATTTCTTTCGAAAATCGACAACTATGAAACTATGAACTCTTCCTGGACACAAACAGTACATTGTGAGACAGGAAATTGTAGAGAGAAACAAGCCCTATAACAAAGGACACAACATTTTAATGAACAGTGCCTTCTTTGTGTCTTTTCCTTTTTAGTATCTGGTAAATAGTTAATTTGTTACCACACACTTCGTATATAGAGTCAAACTGTCGTTACTTTTACGACCGGTTATATGTTGTTTTTTATCATGGCACTCTAGATTGAAATTTAAAATACTATTTTTTAAGTAAATATGTCAAAAGTTGACATTAAATTATTCTATTCAGAATGCCATATTCTGCCAAACAAATTAAAAAAATACCGACGGTACCATTTAAAAACCAAAAGTTGTAGTGATTTCCGGTGAAACAAGAAATGACCGAAACTAATTGAATACGTCAATCAAGCCACTTTTGAAAAACACCCGGTATATTATAATTCTTTCTGATAGATTTTACAAAATTCTTCAACTTCTATTAATAATATCATATAACTATATAAATTACTTTAATGCTTAATAATAAATAATTTTTGTTTTGTCATGGCAACTTGTTATAGTGTAAATGAAGTAAAAGGATAAAAATTGAAAAATTCAGAACAGATTGCAAGCTGTTTAATTTAATGAACAGTGCTTTCCATAAAATCAATAAAATGAAAAATATACGAAATAATATGCATGTACTGATTTCTTTTGAAAATCGACAACTATGAAACTATGAACTCTTCCTGGACACAAACGGTACATTGTGAGACAGAAAATAGTAGAGAGAAACAAGTAATAATATGCATGTACGCCTATAACATAATGTAATGTATGCCTATAACATAGAATACAACATTTTAATGAACAGTGCTTTCCATAAAATCAATAAAATGTAAAATATACGAAATAATATGCATGTACTGATAGCGATCACAGAAAATTGTTTGTTGCTGTAGAATGATGGTTATTTAGTCTGCTTTCAAACTTTCATCAAAATATCAACATTTTGTTTTACCCCGTATAATTGACAGATGGAGACCTTCATTTTTAGTTTAGACAGAGATAGTAGAAAGTCAAATAAATTAGCTACAAATCGGCCCACTAGAACAAGATATATTATTAAACTTTGTAATAATGTTTAAACTTTGTTGAGTTTATAATAACTCATTAGTAAGAACTTTTTGTTTCTTTAACGTGATATTTAGCAACATCAAATCAATTTTCTAGATACCCCTCAAATATGAATAGGTACTCTTTTTTTAAAACAATATTTATAATGAAATAGTAATTTAATTAATTTGATAAGAGTTGTATGAAATAGAGCAACCGCAAGTAGAGCAGGTTGCCTTTCATTTGCATTCCAACTAACGTCATTTCTATCCAGATAGTGATACAAGTCTCGGTTGCCTCATGTCATTTT